GGGGAAGACTCACCGGCAAGCTATGTTGTGCAGCTGATACAATCTTAGTTACAGAAAGTGAAGAAGACTTGAAACACTTGCTGCCAAAGATCAAAGAAGATCATAACCTTCAATGTGGATTGCACGTCTACATCAAGAAAGCAACAATCTTCACCGCTGTTCTAACAGGCAACACCAAGATAGATGGAGAAAACACTGAAGTTGTCAAGTTTCATTTTTACTTGGATCCACAATCAACCCCCAACGTAGCAGCAGTCAAGAAATCAAAAGACATGTTACCACTGGAAAAATCTGCTTTCAAGGGCCTCTCCAGAGTACTAAAAGGCAAAGAGGCCAGTTTAAAGACCAAGGTGCCCTCGAAGCGAGCTATGACATTACTTCCTGTCCATCTGAAAGTTGGGCAATGAATAAAGATGACAGAAGAATTAATGCTTTTGAATTGTAGCATTAGAGAAGAGGACTGGTTATCCCATGGACTGCCGAAAGAACAGACAACTATCTCCTGGAGGAAGTGCCATGTGGGTGTTCCTTAGAGGGAAGGATGACAAGACTTCATCTCACATTCTTCAAGTAGTTGTCAGCAGGGGTCAGTCATTGGAAAAAGACATCATGCTGGGAAAGAGTCAGAGAAAGAAAAGAAGACACTTGATGAGATGGATTGACACAGTAAGCATAGCAATGGGTTCAAGGACATCAGAGCTGACGAGGACGCACAGGATGGGGCAAGGTGCAGACAGTGTCCATTGGGTCGCTGTGAGATGTCCATTTGATGACACCTAACACCAAAAACATACACATATGCATGCATATACTTAAAAAAAAACCCCAAACACACACCAAACCAAAACCAAACTGCTGCTGAGTTGGAACTAACTCATAGCTGACCCTCCGGTGGGTTTCAGAAGCTGTAAATTGCACGAGAGGAGATTGTCCATCTTTCTCCCTCAGAATCACTGGTGGATTCAAACCCCCAGAGTGGTGTCACATTTGGATTTGCGGTGCAACTCCCTACATATCACACCACCATGTGTGTGTAATCACAACTCTAAACAGGATTGAACAAGGACATTTGAAAAGACATTCTGGATTTAAGACTCCCTGCACTCAAATCCTGTTACATCCGTCACTAGCTGTGAATTGAAGCAAGCTGGTTGAAGGCTAGTGTATGTCAGAGCTGTCTTCTATTCCTGCTTGGTCCGTGTGGCTCGTTTGATCCTCTCACATAGCCTCACTGGTATCTCCTTCTGTCCGCCTTCCCTCCTGTGTTGTTCTATATATTCCTGAGTCGGTGCTTCTCGTGCTTCGCTGATTGTGGGCGACCTGCTTCCACATGGATCTGTTTCCCGTTGGAGTGGCTGACTCTCTAGCAGGCTGCAGAGGGCATACCTGCTCACCACGGAGCCTCACGCTCTCTACTGTGTTGTCCCAGCCTTTCTTTCCCACTGTTTATTTCTTTGGGGTTCTTACATTGTGCTCTGCCTAACAGCTCAGTGCAGCTATCAGATTGAGATAATGAGGTGGGGAACTAGTATCAAGCTTGCAGAGTGCAGCTTACTTCAGGTGCCGGCTCCATCTCTAAGTAGGTATATGACCTTGGGAAAATTATGGAACCTAGGAATTTCTATGTTTCATCTATAACATGAAGGCGGTTCTCCTTACCTTGGTCAGGCAGTTTCAACCTACCAGCTGCTCGTTTGGAGAAAGGATCACATCCACCTACACGATTTACAGCCTCTGCAAACCCACTGGAGTGATATGTCCATTCCAGATCAATGGAGCATAACAACAACAACATTATCCTACCTTCCTGTAAAGACAAAATTCTATACTCTTCACTAGAGCAGAAAACAAGTGTCAGATACACAGTAGGGACTTCAGGGATGTTTTCCTACCCGCCATATAGGCTTCCAAATTCAAGCCTCACGTTTAGTGACTAACTATAGTCCCTTTACAACCTCCTTGCTAAGAAGTCATCTAGCCTTCACTGTACACCAGGAACACATGAGTAAAGGGACTAATAATACAAGTTTCTTCTATTTAATTAGGGGGCTCTGGTGACCTAGTGGGTAAGGAGTTGCACTGCCAACCAAAGGCAGGCGGTTTGAATCCATCAGCTGCTCTGAGGGAGGATGAAGAGCAGTCTCCTGTGTAATTTCCAGCTTCCGGACACCTGCTGGAGCATCAGCTATCATCTCTGACTGGACAGAATGTAACAACAGTTAGTTTACAATGAAACTAGGGAACTCTGTTGGCTTAATGGTAGGGAATTTTGCTACCAAACCAAAGCTACACTGTTTGAATCCACCAGGTGCTCCAGGGGAGAAAGATGGGCACTCCTTGTGTGTGATTGCTGCCTCTGGAAATCTAGTGGAGGGTCACTTTTGAGTCGGTTCTGATGCGACAGCACACAACAACTACAAGAAAAGGAGCTATGTATCGATGCTACCATTTAAGAAACTTAAGGAAAGCAGTGTTGCTATAACCAGGAGTTAGAATTGAAAAGTGAAACTCCAGTCTAATAATTTTATCTATCGATAAATCTAAAGGGTAGAGGGACAGTGTAAGAGAGGAAGACCTTCGACGAGATGGATTGATTCAAACACTGGGGGTGGGGTGGGGGTAGGTGTGTCAGAGACAATAAGGTTGCAACAAGATAGAACAGGGTTTAGACTGTTGTACATAGGGTCACTACGATTTGCAAGTGACTTGATGGCACATTACACAACAGCAAATCTAAACGATAAGAAAATCTAAAATTCCCTTTTAATATATAATTTTACTTTAGGATTTTTTCCCCCCTTTCATTGGGAGTGGAACAGTTCTCCTTATTTTCTTCTTTATAAACTAGAAAATTATAATAGCTAAACTTTCTTCTCGCTAGTGTTTCTCACTCTGCTGTCCATATGCGTACACAAAGGTTAAGCCAGGAACACATTATCAGAAGGCTGTTCCAGAGAACGCTTTCCTGGACACTGCACATCCAGATCTCCTGTGAGGAGGAGCCCTTGGTGAGGAACCACCGTGCTCACGTGGCTCCGTCAGCGCCTGGGGGCCTGGGAGTCGCCTCCCAGATAATCATGAACAGCCTGATTAGTCATGGGTATATTTTTTTGTGTATAATTCTTCAAAAATTACTGGTTCCCAGTGGGGAAAGTAACTCCAAAACCCTAACAGAAGAAGCAGCAGCATTTTCTGGAAAATTCTCAGATGTGCTCTAGAGGATAAGTATCAGTAAGTGAGAAGGTGCCAAAGAGCTAAGAAGAACTGACTCCCAGCTACTGCTCAGACGCTCCGCAGGCTCATGGTGGCTTGCTGTGCTGGAAACTTGGCCAGTAACGCAGCAAACAATGTTGACTAGTAAGAATTAGATGGGTGCTTTCCAAACTTGAAAGAGAAGACTGCATTTCTCCCTTTGAGAAATTATCCTGTCCTCTCTCTCAGGTCCAAAGAGTCAGGGAAGTGGTCACATGTGCTTGGCCTTTCACTGTCCTAGCAGTCTTTTCAGAGGTTGGGTGGTACCCCCAGAACAAGCCTGGGTATTTTCCAGGTGTAGTGGTGGGCAGATCAGTATGCAGGAATCCTAACCATGAAAGCCTTTCTTAAATCTTAAGTCATGTCACATACATGTCTAGATACATGTCACATGTATTTAGAGTCCAGGGGGCCACTCTGAAGAGTAGAGCATTAAATCAGAAGACAACCTTCTGAGAAGGATAGGGGGAAAACTCTAAAACTCTTGTTATTTGACTTATCAATCTTTCCTTAACTAATCCCTCCCAGAGCAAATACCATCTCAACAACTTTGTTTTGGAAGTTATTCATAACGATGTTTTAAGTGACGGTTGTAGAATGTTGGAAATCTCGGTTATCATACCTTTTAATTTGCCTAAAGTAAATATTTATGACATTTATGGTAAGAAAGAATTCTTTGTAGTTAATACATTTAAATCACTTGCATGCTTAAGCCAACGATAATCAAATCCATCTCATAGTTACCCTGTGGAGCAAAAGAGAACTGCCCCCTCCTTCTCCCATGTGGTTGGTGGGGTCGAACCACCGAACTTGTGGCCCACAGCTGAACATATCACCATTGTGCCATCAGAACTCCTCTCCAGACGCCTGCTCCCTATCAAAGTGGCTATTTTAATTTTATTTCTATTTCCTTCGAAGCCTTGCCAGTTCGTCCATAATTTCTTAGTTGTTGTAATTAAATAAGGCTGCCTTTTGTGATTACAAAGCATTGTTGCACATGGAAACAGACCTCAGGGACCTGCTTTCACATAAGCTGTGCTCACTCAGAACCCAGTCTGGTGGGACTCTGTCTCCTGCCATCACCTGTCAAGTGATCTTGTCACAGAACCTGTTTGAGTGATGAGGTGTCCATCAAATGATCCCTTTGGTTTTTTTGCTTGTGAAAGGATAGAGTTTCTTAATAGTACTATAAAGTGTTCGGAATAAGAGGTCTGCTCCATGGAGAAGAAACATGAATAGGTTTTGATTTTTATGAGGCTGAATCAGCCAAATCAAACACAGGCTTTCCTGAAGCTTCCAAGATTTTAATGGAAACTCACGCGCTTCGGAACTCTGTTGCCTAATTAGAATTCATGCCGTTTGCAGTATATTATGGGGTGGACCAAAAGGAAAATGTTAGATGTGTGCACTTGTGACTTCTGTCATGTTAACTTGTGCAGTGCCAATGATGTATGTCCAGATGACATGTGTACAAGACACAGGTTCTGACAGGCAGCGTCACCTCAGTAGGAAGGACAGGGACAAACTTGAACTCTGATGAATACAGACTAGATTCAGTCAGCCTTCCCCATATGGATGTGCACATGCCAGAATCGAATTTCAAATACCTTAAGTAGCCATAACTGTCAATAAACTTATCTTCTAAAGAGAAAGGGCCCACTTGAAACTCAGGAAAAAGGAACTATCCAAATGTTGTTTTAATGACTTGCATTTGTGGTTTGTTTGGTTTTTTTTTTTCTTTAATACAGGCCTAACTGGGACCAAAGGAGAAAAAGGGAACCCAGGCATTGGAACCCAAGGTCCACGAGGCCCCCCTGGGCCAGTGGGTAAGTTGTTCTGGCTGAGAAGAAGTGACTATGTCCCACTTGAATTTAGTATGAACAGAATGGCTATTTGCATCTTTTGGCCTAATGAAATGACTTCATTTCTCTTTCATTTTAAAAAGAGGCCAGTATTTATTAATAATTCCAGTGTTCAAACCTAAAAGGTGCAACTTATTCTGTAATCTTAGTTGTTATAAGGCTGAAAATAGGATAGGCTTTGAGCCGAGACAACAACAACACAACCATTGTCATGGAGTTGATTTCAAAGAGGCCCTGTGAGCAGAGTGTAACTGTCCGTCACATTTCCAAGACACTCAGTCATCAAGTAACCGGTGAGTTCAAGCTGTCAAGCTATCTTGAAGCACGTGGCTAATTAGCCACTGTGTCACCAGGGTTCCTAAAGGCTGTGAAGAGTGGCAAATAAATGTCAGATGCCTCGTGAGTTAACATAATTAAGGCATATCACATACTTGTCTGAAGTTTTATGTGGTTAAGATGACCATTGTGGGTCATGTAGTCTCTATCATGAGGCATATGACCCCTAAGGAGACGTAAAGGAGGCACCTCAGCTCTTAATTTTCTCAATGGATATTGACATATGTCATTTCCACTCATAGTTTACCGGCAGGAACCAATCAAAGAGCCCCAAATGAACTGTAAGAGAGACTGAGGAGTCTAGGGGAATGCATGGGTACGTGGCAGGCACTAGTAGTTTCTGCTGTGGTCTTCTGAGTCCTGGGGGGTCATGTGCTTGACAACTTACTGAAAGGTTGGCAGTTCAGATTCATGATTCTGCCCACCCAGCAGCTCCACTGGTGGGGAAAAAAAAATTAAAATCTGTTGATCTGCATCCATGAAGATTCAAAATGAAACAAAACAAGCCCATAGCTGTTGTGTGGATTCCCATGCAGTATGAGTCTGGGGCAGAGTTGAACAGCAATTCTGCTTTGTCGCTCTCAATCGGAAGTGACTTGATAACAACTAAAAACAACCAAAGAACATTTATGAGAGTCTTAACCAAATGAGATTGTGTTTTGTGTACATAATTGTGTACATTATTCCATGCTTTCTGCATGGTCTCCAGATGACCAGACATGTAGTTGGAATTGTAAATATGCAATCCTGTTACATATTTACAATCACAAGCCTAACCACTTTGAATCAAATGCTTTACAGATTTTTCTTTCCATTCTAATAATGTTTTGGGAAAGTATTTTCTCTAGAAGGTATTCCTAATGGAACAGATTCATTTGGGATGTAAACACTCCCATAATCGGAGAGGCTTGGAGGGACTCATCTGCGTCATGCTTTGCAGACAGGGGCTTGGTGGGTGTTGACTGAGCTGCTGAATGGATCTGAAAGTCACAAAGCCAGTCCAATAGGAGCTCCTAGACATGTGTACTATTAGCCATTTGCTCCTAGTTCTCTTTCTAAGAACGCTGGGTTAAGCTCTGGGTGCTGGACCAAAGGTTCCAAGGGTGCTGGACAAAGCATTGAGCTGCAAACCAAAAGGTTAAGGTTTCAAACCAATCAGTTACTCCATGGGAAAAAGATGAGACATTCTTCCCCCCTACAGAGTGACGGCCACAGAAAGGCTTTTGTGCTTTTCTGTTCTGTCCTGGAGGGTGACAGAGTCGGACTGACTCACAGGCAGGGCACTGGGTTTAGTTTTAGCCTATTTTCTGCTCTGTTTGAAGAATTTCATAACTGGTTAAAGAATACCTTTGAAATATTGTTGGAGTCCAGACAGAGCCAAAAACAAGCAAATGCACAAATTAAAATAGACAGCTTAGCAAACTTAAGCTCATCAAAGTGTTAATCTCCCCTCCTATTTTTATACACTGCTTAATTGGTCTTCCGTTACAATAAGCAAACTAAAGAAATGTTAGAGTGCTCTGGCGGCCTAGCGGTAAGAAGGTGCACTGCAGTTCCAAAGGCGTGTCTGAAAGGCGATGGGGTATCCAGATCACTTCAGTTCCAAGCTCAAAGGGTATCCAGGGTGACAGCAAAGCAGGGATCCTCTGTTCTCTATTGGTCTTGTAGTTCTTGGATTTTTTTTATAAGGGATTTGATTTTTGTTCTACATTTCCCCCCTAATTCTTGAAAAAAAATATTGAATTACATACAATCATTCATATACATTGTGTTTTTTGTAATTATCATTGATAAAAAATCAGAGGATAGACACTCCATGAAGAAAGCAACATTAAAAGAATCCTTATTCTTTTCTCCAAGAGGTAATAAAATGTATTTCCTATTCCAGAGCAAATTAGAACCAAGTACCTCCTGGAAGACTTGTGATTGTAGTATGAGCCTCTACCCAGGGAATCCAGTGAGGAGGGACACAGAGTTAATCCTACTTGTCAAAACATACACAATTACTTCTCATAAGAGTTCTTCTATTTCTTAGTAGTTTTAACAGCTCACCTTCCTGTCATATTTTAAATACACTTTTGATTTGTGGATGCTTCTTAGGACCTTCCGGGGAGAGCCGACCTGGCAGTCCTGGGCCCCCTGGCTCTCCTGGACCAAGGGGTCCACCTGGCCACCTGGGAGTGCCTGGACCGCAAGGTCCTTCCGGCCAGCCTGGATACTGTGACCCCTCTTCATGTTCTGCGTATGGTGTGGGAGGTGAGTGGCAGTCGGCATGTGGGTGCTGAGTGATTTTTCTTACAATGGTTGTTAATGCCATCCCAGCAGGGGGTGCTGTGGAAAGCAGACAGATTGTGGGAGGGAGTCAGAGCTTTAGTCTCCTTACCCTTTTAGGAGATTCTGAGCATTTTCTGCGAAGCACCGATTACTGTAGAGGCCACCCCTTGAAAAAATTACAAGAGGAAATTCTAAATGATAATAGTACACATGTCTTCCTTGAATGATCCACCAAACTCGGCCTCTGACCCTCTCTTTGCCCACTGGGGTTGGCGGAGCATGAAGGAACATTCGTGTGTGCCTTTATTCCTTGTCAGTACTGGGGCCTGGCTGTGATCTCCTGTTAATTATAGTTGTATTTTTGAGGAAACCTCAAAACCAGACCCCAGTACCCTTCACCCTAGAGTTAGAAGGGTCTTCTGGATTCTTCTGGGTAAAATTCTGCCTCCCACATGCATTTTAGGTGACCAAGAATAGTTTTAAGGAGAATTAAAAACGTCCTAGTTGTCCTTGCCTAACTGTTGGACGGAGAGGCAGAGAGTATGCGTCCTAAAAGACCTGCAGTCTGCATTCTGTTGAAAGGCTGCCATGCAGGGTGGTGGGACGTTTCTTCTCTAATTACTCTTGGAAACATCCAGGGACAGGTTCAGAGAGTGCTATAGGGCCGTGTACTTATTAGCGTATGAATTTAATTTTCTGCCTCAGGAGAAATTGAACCTTAGATGCCAGAGCAACTGATCAAAGTTTTACTGATGTGTTTTTCTCTGTTCATCTTTTTTCTCCCTGTTCTCTCCAACTCTCCTGTCTCTCATTAAGACGTGATCCCTTACAATGATTACCAGCGCTGAAGTGGAAATCCTCCACTCTGATTGCATTGGCCAGGGATTTGGCTGTGGATACAAAACTGTCCTGTTCACCACCACCACCAAGCCCCTGCCCCTAACAGCGGCCACTCCTCTTCCTTGCCTCACTTGCTTCCCTGCCTGCCCCATTTCACTCTTGTGTCCCGTCTGCACCAATCACAACACAATGATAATATTGAAACTTAATCCAATCAGATGTTTCAACTGTAATAGAAGCTGGCTCTTCCATGTCAGCCTGGGTTGAGTATATGAACATGTGCCAATAATTTATGCCAAACTTCCTGCAATCAAGTTGCCTAAATGTGCCTTCTCTTTCCTATCCCCACATAAGATTTCTGGGCAGCCTGCTTCCTGAACACCCTTCTCTCCCTCCACCCCCTCCCTTTATTCTCCCATGGTGATGGAGCTCCAACAGAAAATCTATTTTCAGAATTGATTTTTCTCTTACAATTCTGCCAAGTTTTTTCAGGGTTTCTTTTGTAAATAAAACATATAATATTTAAGCAGTTGACTGTGATTCTAGTTTCCTAACAACTTCCGTAACAGACCTGTTCCTGCCTCCTTTTACTAACCATCTGTTATCTCTTGGGAAAGGTGGAAGCGGCGACGTGGTGGGTGAAGGTAAATGAGATTTGCTACCTAAGGGGCAGAGCTCTGTTCTTCAGTGAGCCAACCTGTGCTTCTAAGGGCCCAGAGATTTGGAGAATCTCGATTTAAGGATCCTGGGTCCTATCAAGTCCCCGCCCCCCTCTTCCTCTCTAGCTTCCCATCCTGATCAGCCGGAATTCACCCCTGTTGAAGATGAACTAGAAGCCATGGAGCTGTGGGGACCCTCGATCTGATGAATCCTGCAGAAGTGTCCGGAGCAACCACAAACACTCAAGGAAATGCACTCAAGACGCATGTTGTCACGTGGTTTGTACGTTACCTTTGGTGGCTCGTTTCAGCAGCCTAAATCTCATCTTTGAAAGATTTTCAAAACTTTTTGATATTAAAAAAGAAATCCCTGAACACTGTCAGACTGATTTCCCTTTGCTGTTTTAATGCCACAACAGATTAAATGTGTTTTCCAAAGCCGTAGAATTGAAAATTTAAAAAAAAAATAAATTAATTCAGGAGTCTTTTTTCTGTTAAATGATCTCAAGATAGAAAACATGATAGATAGTCAGGAGGAATGGGGCCCCAGCAGAAAAGGGATTAGAAAGGACTCAAAGGCTATCCCATTTCCTCTTATCCCTATGGAAATGACCTTGTTGATAAGAAAACAACATTATTGGAGAAACTACCTCTTCCTTAATTAATGTGTTCAACTCTGAGATTGGTTGGGAACTGGAATCACCAGCATCCAAGAAAATAAATGTTAGGATATAACCATAATGAAGTTAGGGATCTAAAAAATAAATTTAGTGTTTCAATGCTTTTTTACTCTTGTAAAGTTATGATTTCCAACCGGCTGCTGTTGTAAAGAGATGCAATTTGGGTGAACGATTTATTCTGCACTGTGTTCCAGGCCTTGTCTACAAGATGATTGTGTGCATGCAGATACGTTACAGCATTTTTTTATGCAAATAAAAGTTTAAAACCATGTATTGGATTCTTTTTATTATTTTTCAAAATAATACCTTAACCCTTTGTGGTCTAAGATGAGTTTCTACCAGAAAAGCAGCATGTGACTTCATCGAGGCAACATTCAAACTTTCATTCATCCATTCTCAGAATAAAACGCTTAACAGAAAAGATAGTTGGTCTGAGTATAAGGGACTGGTAAGATTTTATCATTTATTTGTAACTCCAAAATTGATTGCTATCCAACAGAGTCTTAAAAGCCCCTATTTGTCAGAGGAGATCTGTGCTCCATAAAGTTTTGCAATGGCCGATTTTTCAGAAGTAGATCACCAGGTCTTTCTCTTGAGGTTTTTCTGAGTAGATTTGAACCTTCAAACGTTTCAGTTAGCAACTGAATACGTTGAGGTATATCCCCAGGTACTCCACGTATGACATGGTGACGCAGTGATAAGGAACTGTGCTGCCAAATGTGGTTCAAATACATAGGAGAAAGATGGGCAGTCTCATCCTATGTGATTTACTGCCTCTGAAAGCCTGCTGGAGAGTCAGCTATGAGTAAGTACACAACAGCAGGCAACCGAAACAGTGCACCTATATGCCTAATGCTGAATTGGAAATTGTTGATTAAGGAACTCATATACCACCAGCAATGAGAAAAGGCATGAGATGTTGTAGAAAGCAAAAAGGAAGTAAGAGTCATCTAAATAAATAGACTCTAACTCCTAACAATAATTTTTATTTTGCTTCTAAAAGTAAATATTTAGATTCTCTTATTTGTTGAAAAGAAAAATGAAGGTGAACCATTATGTTCCTTCTCTGTACCACCTCCTAAGTAATGGCTAATTTTAAAAGGTAGATGAGGCCTACTTCCGTGAGTAGTGTCTGGAGTCTTAAAGACTTTGGAACAGTCATCTAAAGTGCAACTATTAGTCTATCCCTACCAGGAGCAAAGAGGAGGGAAGAAAAGTAAAGATGTATAGAAACAATGAGTCAAAATAACTAATGGATCCTGCAGATCTCACTTTTGCAATGCCCTAAAATAAAAGAATTAGATGGCGTCCAACTACCAATGATAGTTCCTCTTCCAGGGCTCATAGTAGAAGAGCCTGCATAGAGTGGAGGGGGAGGGGAATGTGGAATAAATTTTTTTAAAAAGCGAAGTCTAGTTAAAAGTTTATTGTCCAGAACTACTTTCCTATCCATTAAGTTACTTTGCCTTGTGGATGGGTGGGACTATATGAATAGGGTGTGTTAGTCTAGGCATGAGGGGACTGGTTAATCTTGCCATTAAATTGATCAGATCTAGCAGCAGAATAGGAGGAATTTCTCCACCAGAAAAGAGTAAGCATGAGAAAATAACTCATCCTTCAGGACCAGAGATTCTTGCACAGACTAGGACCTACAGGAACCACAGGCACAGGAAAGCACCAGAGATCTGACATGAGATGGAGCGGACTTTGGGATTGCTAGGCCACAAAACCAGAGCTAAGAGCATTTTGCCCAAGTTTATTGGAGAACTGAGGGGTTGCGGAGAGCCAATATTGGCAGGACTGAGAACTCTGTAACACTTGTCTAAAACTGCAAGACTCAAGGTTGAGGCACTCGTGAGTTCATTACGGAATCTGTCCTGACTGTATTCTACTACTAACCTGAATTATATCTTTTTTATTTCCCCAATATGGTTCTCTATGGAATGTGAGCTATCACATTGGATTTTGGACCCAGTAAAGCAATAAGATTCATACTGAGATAAGAAGAAAGAGGTACAGAAGCATGGGGGACATGTCTGACCTCATTGGAATTGGTTTTGATGATGTTGACATGGACTGTTCCCCTTTGTGAAGTTGGTAAAGGTCCAATATGGCCTGTGCCACATGGCTCTTGCTTTTTTACACCAACCTTATGGGTCTGATAGAGACTGGTGGAATCCTAGAACAAAACTACCTACCTGGAACAAAACTCACCTCTGTGGCTCAGCTTTCAAACAAACAACAGACAGGTCTGTAAGGTCAGCAGAAGAATGAATGCCTTTGAATTGTGATGGGGAAGAGTATTGAATATTCCATTGATTGTCAAAAGAACAAACCAAAATACCTTGGAGAAAGTACAGCCAGAGTGCTCCTTGGAGTCAAAGATGATAAAGCTTCATTCGTCTTACCTACTTTGGGTATGTTGCTCGGAGAGGTTATTCCCTGGAGAGGGATAACATGCTTGGAAAGGTGGAGGGATGGCAAAGAGGAGGAAGGCCCTCAAACCAAGTGGATTGACACAGTGACTGCAGCAATGGACTCGATGGACTCGAGTGGGTCTGAGATTATGAGGATGAAACAGCATAAGGACAGGGTGCAGATTTGTTGCTCAGAGGGTCACTATTAGTTGTTTTTAACTTGATGACATCTAACAACAGCAGAAGGTTAACAACAACACAGGAAGGCTAGAAGATAGGCTGGTTATTTTACTCCGTAGAATAACCAGCCATATAAGAGCAGAAGAGCATTTGCCCAAGAGTAAAACCCAGAAATCAGGAAGAGGACTAATGGAAATAAGCATTACAAGAAAGAAATTAGAAGAGTGTGATTACATGATACGTATTATAATTAATATTCTAAAGTATAATATTTATCAATAGCTGAATGAGAAACCAATGTACTTTATAAATTTTCACTCAAATCTCTTTATTTAAAAAAAGAAGGTAGAGATGGGATCATATATAATCAGAAACTGGACTATTCCCTGATCAGGAAAAGGCTGCTGTTGTTGTTTGTGTTGTCAAGTTGAGTATGACTCATAGCAATCCTATGAACAAAAGATCTGAACCCTATTCTAAAACTATCATCATTTTTCTAATGTTCATAGAGTTTCTAAAAGCATATTGTTCAGGAAGTAGATGATAATCCTGCTTCCTAGCCTGATTTAATCTGGGAGCTCTACCAAACACTGTTCAGCATGGGTAGCCATTGATAGCATGTGACACAGCATTCAGTATCACAGCAACCCCAAGTTATCCCAGTATAACAAAGTGACGGACCACTGCAGTACCACTTAGAAGAATGTTCTTCCCAAACACAACATCAGCAACCTGAGAGCCCAACCGACTTAAATATAAAGGCCCGCACATCAGGTCCTAATTGACTTTAACAAGAGACTTCAGCCCACAGCTGATTGTTAACTAAATCCAGTAAATCCAGGTGATCAATCAGCTCACACATGATTGTGAAGTAAATAGAAAATGACCAAACAGTTTACACCTGACTTTTAACTAAAAGGAGAGAACCTAGCCTCCAGAATCCAACTTCTTCACACAGGAGCCTCAAAAGAAGAGTATTTGATTGACAACTGATTCTCCTATTGGAGAGGAGTTGCATTGTCAACCTAAAGACTCAAGATTCAAATTCACCACCTGCTTGGAGGGATACAGAAGGGTGATCTCCTCCCATGTGATTTTTTGCCTCTTAAAACCCAATGGAGGGTCAGCTATGAGCTGGATGATTGTCTTACATACCTGGAAGCTAGAATTCCAAATGAGATTGCTACTGGTGGGGGGGACCCCCTACAACAGAATTCTAATGCCTGCACCTGGAAAAACTCATCTTGAAGCCAGGATTTGAAGTGTGAAGAGCAGAATGTGGTGGCATATGGAGGAGGTACTTTGGTGGCATAGTCTGTAGGGAATTGTGCTGTGAACCCAAAGATGTTGCCTCACTGGCAATTCCACAGGGGAAAGATAGCCATTCCTCCATGCAATTTACAGTCTCAAAAACCCACTAGAGGGTCAGCTATGAGCCAATTACAACTCAAAGGGCGAGTGAGTTTGCTGTGTACAGGAGACAAGCAGTGTAAGCTCCTAAGCCTGTCTCAACAAGAGAAGGTTCTCAAGGAACATTTATAAATTAATTTAAGGGCATGGGGAAGAAAGAGCTCATGTTGCAGCACTTTTAGGAGGCAGGGAGCTCTGGTGGCCTAATGGGTAGGGAGTTGCATGTCCAACCCAAAAGCAGGAGACTTGAATTTTAGGGAGTAGGATGGGCAGTCTCTTCCTGCGTGATTTATAGCCTCTGAAAACTCGCTGGAAGGTCAGTTGTAAGTTCTGACTCAATAGCAATGAGTTTGAGGAGGTTTTTTGTTAAGAGAGAACAGTAAAGTTATCTTTGGAAGAAAAAAAGAGAAATTACTCAAATCAATAGACTTGCAGCTGGCCTTTAATGTATCTTTCCAGTTAGCTCTTTGGTAATCAGAGGACATGCACTATGTCCCCTAGGCAGGCATACAGGGACCA